CGGTACAAGCTATCAACTATTCCAGTATAGTCAAAATAACTACCAACATTTGGATTAATCTTCAAAGCAGACTAATGAATCTTCTTTGATCTGAGCGGTGAGTGATTCTAGGGGAAAAGCTAATTGCAATAGTCATACGCATCAGCTCATACATGCCAAGTATCTTGTCAAGTGTGCCTCTCAATACCAGAAATACGTAGGCAATCGCAATGGATTCAAAGGAATCGGTATTATTTGAGGGAATCACGGCCCCCAATGTAATTCACTCACTCGGATATTAAGGGCCTAGGCTGACTCCATTCATGCAATGATTCATCCCCACATTCACGTCTGGGCATGGTGACCGATTTATCGATCCATCTTGACGTGATTCGCTTCCTTACCCGACCGACAGAGGTCAGTCACCGCCGATTTCGTTCATTCGCACACGAACAAAAATCAGGGTGAATCGGGGGTCGAACAGCCCACCCCACTATTCATCCTCACTGGGTAACTCACTCAAAAAGTACTTTTGATCGTTTACGGAGGAGTGAGTTCATTCGGACTGGACGAGGTTTAGACAGACCCGGTCCCAGGCCAAACCAAGTGCATTTTCTTGGGTTATTCTGGCTGAGTGCTCTGACAACTTTATCTGAGCATCGTATTCGTTCCTCGGCCAAGCAAACGAACACGCTATCGGTGGTCATCCGCCAAGTTAAAGAAAACATAAAGAAAGCCACGTTGAAAAAAATTCATGTTGTATCGAGCGCTCGGCAAGATAATCACAACCGCGCTATACGGACATTTTAATGAACCCATGAAGATACCTAGTGCTTTTTCTGAGCGGAATACAGATAGATGAAGAACTCTTCCCCGTCCTCTACAAATAATTTGAGCCGTGTTACCAACTGGGATAGTTTGCGTCGTTCAAATAGAGCTTCTTCAAGCGCTAGGAACTTGCATTTTTAACACTGAAGAACAATATACGGAATATGATGGTACGATTTGTTCCTTGACAGGTTTGTGTATTTGATCACAAAGCAATTATAACGGTACCCCAAGCAACCGACTGCGCGGCGGTTCTGAGGCATTTTAGCATGTTTTTGAAGTGAATCGATAAATGGTACAAGAGTAAGAGTACATGGGAAACAAAGCTTAAGCATCTTTGGAAACTTGATTTTTTGTACTTGTATAACCTGTGCAAGCATAAATGCTTACATTTCAGTTAAAAATATACACTGTTCGTCACGTAGAAAGAAATAATCATAATATTAATAAAAGCGAAAGGTTAAGATTGTCGGTGATATTTGTTTCATGTACAAAACTTTTGACGTAGTTCATTTGAGGCCTGTTCCTTTTTGGTAAGTAGTCGGACCAGATAGGGTACAGGGGAATTTTTATAAATGTTAATGCGATAGGGTAGCTGTTGAAATGAGGAGCGTGTGGACGGATGGGAACGACAAGACGATAGATCAGGGTGTAATAGATGAAGAGGGTCATCTAGAATCTTATGAGCAAATTTAAAACAAGAGTTGTGACCATTAATGAGATCTGTGATTAATGAATCGATCGGAATTAATGATGGATTACTGATGATCACCAAACCACGACGAACTGTTTTGAAGTCTTGTTTTAAAAGACGGGGAAACACTACAGGGGAACAATAGAGTAGAATGGGTAAAACGCATTGATGAACGAAAGATGACAGGACTGACTGTGGGGTTCGGAATGGCCTGAGTTTGCATAACTGAAAAGACAGGCGTGTAAGTTTTCCCATACAGTTGTAAATATGTGTAGACCAATGAGGATTGCTGTCGATGGTGACACCCAGGTACTTGGTTGAGGTCATTCTGGATACAGGTTTACCGCTAAGGGTAGCAGAGTTCGTTGGAAATGAGAAACGGGAAAGAATAAAAAACACTCTACGCACTTAGATATGTTAAGACTGAGACCAGATTGGTCAGAAAACTGTTGGATGTGAGATAGGTTTTCAGTGAAGGAATGAAAGTCCGAGGGGGATGAAATTGTCTGAGACAAAACGACGTCAACAGCATACTTTTGGATATGCATAGGAGGTGGGATAGAAAGATCACTAATAAAGGCAGAAAAAAGAAATAGAGATAGAACAGCACCTTGAAGAACACCAGAATTATTAATAAGAGGTTTTGATGTTCTCCTTCCTTATTTGGTGCACTGGACCCTCTCTGTGTAAATAGTCATCAAGCCATTGTTTTGGAGTGTCAAAAGATTCAAGTTTGAAAAGAAGGGATGATTGGAAAACATAATCAAACGCAGACGAATAGTCAAGAAAAATACAACGGAAAGACTTGGATGAACTGTTCAATGACTCGTCGACAAAATGCATTAAAGTGGACACGGCATCCAATCTAGATCTGTTTGGTTTATATGCAAACTGAAGGGGGTCGTGAGGAATTGTGGTGTCTGACTGTAACCGACTCGGGATGGCTTTTCCCGTTAACTTTAGAGCCACTGTGGTCAACGCGATAGGACGAAACCGCTTCGCAAGAACAGTTGAAGACGTGGATTTGGGGATCGGAATAATGGTCACTGGACGCCGAGAATCAGGAATTGACCGGGAAGATAGGGACTCATTTACGACGGATATCATCATATTGGTTAGGGAAGCTGCTCCAAATTTCAGAAATGCGGGAGGAAGACCATCAGGGCTTGCAGCTGAAGATGCTTTGCAGGATCGAAGAAGGTTAAAGATTAAGTCATTGGAAAAGGGCACTGAACTGGATTCATTGCATTGGAATGAGGGAATCTGGCTCTCTCATTTGAGGGATGGACGAAGGCGGCGTTAAGACTGTTGATTTCCACAAAGGTATTAGAATGGTTTCCGTTCTGCCCACAAAGAAGGCAAATACCTTGCCATGAAAGCCTGCTTTTCGTTGTTCGCAGAATTTTTGAAGCAAAGATTGCATTTAGGTACGTTATCTCGGACCTGATTAAATCAGAATAGCGCTTTACAGTTGATGCATGGCGAGATTTGTGGGCGATTTCTTTGTATCTTCTAAGTGATTTCAAAAAGGGTAAGGTAATTCTACCGTTACAGACAAACAGGGTTTTCATTGAACAACACAAGTTAAAGATCGATTTGATCATTTCATTGAACAGATTGACATATTTAAACAGCGAAGGACAAGAACCAAACCAAGACTGAACAATCACAATAGAACGGTTGAGAAGAGAGATACAGTTGGGTGAAAAGTCCCTTAGATGAAATTTGATCTGAGTAGAACGTCTGAATGCTTGATAAGTAATGCGAGAGTATACCTTTGGTCTAACAAGAAGAATATTATGGTCATTGGTAGAAACCGGGGCCATTAGATTGAGAGAGAAAGAATAAGTTGGGATGGTTTGTGATCACTCTGTCCAGCATAGAACTACCTCTGGTAGGAGAATGAGAAAGGTCAGACGGACCAAACGGAAGCAGGGGAGAGATGCATGCATGATTGAAATCACCAACAAGTAATTGAAGATCTTCATCTAATGATGAAACTAGAAACGGAATATAGGAATCAAAGAAAGCAGAAATTTCGGTCCGAGTACACGAGGGATATATACACATTTGTGATGATTGTGCTTTAGCGACGAAAAAAATAGGGTGACAACGAACAGATAAACGGTCAATGGATTTATCAGAATAGTTTTATACAACTTCTGACTTGCTACACCAACAAACATTGATGTAAGTAGCCACACCGCCTCCGGT